TCCTCTTCTCATCTTTCTTTGTCACTCACGTCCTCTTCTTTGACTGACTTACATCCTTTATATTTCCTTCTTTTTCTTTTCTTATTCCTATTTCCTTCTCTTCTTTCTCATCTTATTCGTCCTCATTCTTCCTCTGCCTCTGCTGTTTCCTCATTTCTTACCTTATATCTTAATTCCTCCGCCTCTCCTTTCCCTACTTATTTGTCCTCATCCTCTCCTCCCTCTCCTCCCTCTCCTCCCTCTCTTCCCTCTCCTCCCTCTCCTCCTCCTCTTCTCCTTCTCCTCTCCTCTTCTCTTCCTGCTCCCTCCTCCTCCCTCCTCCTCCTCCTCCTCCTCCTCCTCCTCCTCCTCCTCCTCCTCCTCCCTCTCTCTCTCCCTCCTCCTCCTCCCTCTCTCTCTCCCTCCTCCTCCTCCTCCCTCTCTCTCTCCCTCCTCCTCCTCCCTCTCTCTCTCCCTCCTCCTCCTCCTCCCTCTCTCTCTCCCTCCTCCTCCTCCTCCTTCTCTCTCCCTCCTCCTCCTCCTCCTTCTCTCTCCCTCCTCCTCTTCCTCCTCCTCCTCCTCCTCCTCCTCCTCCTCCTCCTCCTCCTCCCTCTCCCTCTCCCTCTCCCTCCTCCTCTTCCTCTTCCTCTTCCTCTTCCTCACCCTCCTCTTCCTCCTCTTCCTCTTCCTCACCCTCCTCCTCCTCCTCTTCCTCACCCTCCTCCTCCTCCTCTTCCTCACCCTCCTCCTCTTCCTCTTCCTCCTCCCTCTCCCTCTTCCTCTTCCTCCTCCTCCTCCTTCTCCACCCCCTCCTCCACCCCCCTTCCTCTCTCCTCCTCCCTCTCACTCTCACTCCTCCTCATCCCTCCTCCTCCTCCTCCTCACTCCTCCTTCCTCCTCCTCCTCCTCCTCCTCCTCCTCCTCCTCTTCCTCCCTCTCTACTCCTCCCTCTCTCTCTGCTGCTACTCCTCTTCCTCCTCCTCCTCCTCCTCCTCCTCCTCCTCCTCCTCCTCCTCCTCCTCCACCCCCTCTTCCCTTGCCTCCTCCTATTCCACCACCACCTCTACCTCCACTTCCACCTCCTCCTCTTCCTGCTCCTCCTCTCCTCCTCCTCCTCCTCCTCCTCCTCCTCCTCCTCCTCCTCCTCCTCCTCACTCTCTCCTCTCCCTCTCCCTCTCCCTATAATCCTCTCCTCCTCCTCCTCCCTATAATCCTCCTCCTCCTCCTCCTCCTCGTCCTTTTTCTCTCTCCTCCTCCTCCTCTTCCTTCTCCTACTCTCTCTCCTTCTTCTCTTCCTCCTCCCTCTCCTCCTCCTCCTCCTCCACCTCCTCCTCTACCTCCTCCTCCTCCTCCTCCTCCTCCTCCTCCTCCTCATTTTGTCTTCTTTCTCAGATTCCCTTTCTTATTTTACATATTTTTCTAAAGCCGTTTTATAGATTTTCTTTCCTCTTTTGTACAGCTACAAAATTTCGCTCCCGTTCTGTTCATATTTTGTTAAAACTAACAAGTTCATAAGTGTTATGTTTCTGTGTCACTCTCACCATTGATAACATTTTGTCCCCTTGTCCAATGTCACTTATTTGGGTTGTCTGTCGCCTTAGCCGGGGAGGATAAGAGAAAAAAAAATGGCAGTATAACATGTATGAGCATCATGAGCTTAGTATATCCATGTCAGAATGATGTAGCAGCATGAATTCTCTGTTAACAGTCTTATCATTATAAGCAGCAGAATGATCTGGCCTGTGAGTCAGAAGATTAAAAACTGATTCCTGTTTAAACTGAATAGAGGAAATGGCTTTGAAGTCACATGAAGGGGTGAGATTTTTGTTTTCATCATCATTATTTTTCAGTTTTTCTCTCTCTCTCTCTCTTTTTTTTTTTTTTTTTTTTTTTTTTTTTTTTTTAAGGATTAAAGTCATTGCTGGATTTGTAAGCAATTTTACTGTCCCATGGTTACTTTTACAACCGAGGAATGAGTTTTCCAGATGCAAGGAGAAATGGGCAACGTGAAAATGCTTTGACAAGGATGACGTCTAGTTCCTCTTTTGAGGCTGTGAATAAATTTTGTGGGCTTTGTAATTGCAATAAGATGGTTTTGCTTAAAGTTTGATTCGAACTTGCAATCTCACCCTGATTTTGATACTCTTGATAAGATAAATAGAATAAGAAGAAAGATATTCATGTCTATGCTTACACACTGATATAAAAAAAAAGCACTGCTGATCTATCACAATTGTGCATGCTCAGCAGTCCTTGAATGTTAGTGTTGCAGCTCTGTGACTCGTGCCTGAGGAGTACATATAACCCCCTCCCCTTCCTCCACATCCTCCTTCTTCTTCCTCCTCCTCTTCTTCCTCTTCTTCTTATTCATCTTCTTCCTCTTCTCCCTCCTTCTCCTCTTTCTCTTCCTCCTCCTCCTCCTCTTCCTCCTCCTCCTCCTCCTCCTTCCTCTTCCTCTCCTCCTCCTCCTCCTCCTCCTCCTCCTCCTCCTCCTCCTCCTCCTCCTCCTCCTCCTCCTCCTCCTCCTCTTCTTCCTCTTCCCGCTCCTACTCCTTTTCTTTCCCCTTTTCATCTTTCTCCTTCCCTCCTTCCTCCTCTTTTTCTTCCACCACCTCCTCCTCCTCTTCCTCCTCCTCTTCCACCGTCCCCTCCCCCCCCAGCCTCACACACTTTTCTTCCTTGTAAACTATTCGTCCAGCTCTGGGAAGCCACCCCTTGACGACCCCTTCCCCGCCCCTAATGGTTGTCTCCTCCCCTCCTGTATATTTGTCTTATGTGTCTCCCCCCACCCCCTTCCCTTGCCCCCTGTTTTTCCCCATCCTCTGTCCCCATGACCCTCTCCCTGCTACAGTGCATGATAGTAATACCCACTGTTGTGTCCCTCCTCTGCCAACCCCCCCTGGTGTGCAGATGTGTCGGCAGCCAAGCGATGAGATCGTGTGTGGGGTGTGTGACAAGGCGTACCATGTGGTGTGTGCCCGCCCCTTTGGCCTCTCCCTCTCCAGAACTGGGTGGAAGTGCAAGGTAAAAAGACATACGCAAGAGCATGCTTTTTTTTATTGTTTTTGACTCCTTCCTCTCCTTCCTCCCTCCCTCCCTCTCTCTCCCTCCCTCCTCCTTACCCCCCCTCCCCTCCCCCTGCCTCCCCCTCCCATTTCTGAACCTGTTTTATTATTATTATTATTATTATTATTTTTTAATTAATTTATTTTTTCCGCATTGGGACCCGCCTAGTTGGCTGGCATGATGATCCAAAGCCTCCGTCCCTCCCTCCCCTCCCTCCCTCCTGCCCTCCCTCCCTCCCTTCCTCTGCAGTACCCAGTCCTCTGGAGATAACTTGACCATAAAACATCCTGGAAGGGAAAGCATGCTACTGAGATGGCTAGTTTATTAAATTTTGCTTTTAATTATGTAAATACGTTGACACTTCCTTAAACAACGAATGTAATCTTAAACGGTTGATGACAGAGGACTGGGTCGTGTAATTCCTAGTAACTTTTGTGTGTGTATATATATATTTGTACATAAGGGATAATTATGCTGGGAAATGCAAATGCTTTTGCATGTTGGCTTTTTGGTATGTTTGTATGTCTCACAGTGAATATTTCAATGCTCATTGATTTACTTACAGATGACCTTCAGCAGAATAGCTTTTAGTTTTAATTTTTTTGATTTTTTTTTTTTTCATTGTATTTGTATGAAGTGGTGATTTATGTATCTGCTCTTCATGATTTTTTTTTTTTTAATTTTGTTTTTGTATTTTTGAGAGTTTTGCATGGGCAGATATTCTTTTTAAAAGTATTTGCTGGAACTGCACTATTCATACAACAGTCACTATGATTTCAAGCCTTGACAGTTTGGTGCCATACTTTTTTTTCTTTTTTATAGTATATATATAAAGCTTGAAACAGATGAAAATACTCTCACACACTTCACTTCCTCTCATCTTTCACTTTCTTTAGTCATTTCTCTCTCTCTCTCTCTCTCTCTCTCTCTCTCTCTCTCTCTCTCTCTCTCTCTCTCTCTCTCTCTCTCTCTCTCTCTCTCTCTCTCTCTCTCTCTCTCTCTCTCTTCTCTCTCTTTTCTCTCTCTTTTCTCTCTCTCTCTCTCTCTCTCTCTCTCTTCTTTCTCTCTCTCTCTCTCTCTCTCTCTCTCTCTCTCTCTCTCTCTCTCTCTCTCTCTCTCTCTCTCTCTCTCTCTCTCTCTCTCTCTCTCTCTCTCTGTCTCTCTCTCTATCTGTTTTTGTGTCTCTTTTTGTCCCTCTCTCTCTCATTTTGTCCCTCTCTCTCTCATTTTGTCTCTCTCTCTCTTTTTGTCTCTCTCTCTATCTGTTTTTGTGTCTCTCTCTTTTTGTCCCTCTCTCTCTCTTTTTGTCCCTCTCTCTCTCTTTTTGTCTCTCTCTCTCTCTCTCTCTTTTTGTCTCTCTCTCTCTCTCTCTTTTTGTCTCTCTCTCTCTCTCTTTTTGTCTCTCTCTCTCTCTCTTTTTGTCTCTCTCTCTCTCTTTTTGTCTCTCTCTCTCTCTCTTTTTGTCTCTCTCTCTCTCTCTTTTTGTCTCTCTCTCTCTCTCTCTCTCTCTCTCTCTCTCTCTCTCTCTCTCTCTCTCTCTCTCTCTCTCTCTCTCTCTCTCTCTCTCTTTGTCTCTCTCTCTCTTTCTTTTTGTCTCTCTCTCTCTCTCTCTCTCTCTCTCTCTCTCTCTCTCTCTCTCTCTCTCTCTCTCTCTCTCTCTCTCTCTCTCTCTCTCTCTCTCTCGCTCTCTGTCTCTGTCTCTGTCTCTCTCTCTCTCTCTTTTTGTTTCTCTCTCTCTCTTTTTGTATCTCTCTCTCTCTCTCTTTTTGTCTCTCTCTCTCTCTCTCTTTTTGTCTCTCTCTCTCTCTCTCTTTTTGTCTCTCTCTCTCTCTTTTTCTCTCTCTCTCTCTTTTTGTCTCTCTTTCTTTCTTTCTTTCTTTCTTTCTTTCTTTCTTTCTTTCTTTCTTTCTTTCTTTCTTTTTTTTACTGATTTTCCCCCTCTTCTTTTTTTTCTTCACTCATATTCTCACTTATACCAACTTTTATTCTCAAGACCTTTCTCTCTCTTACTCCTGCTTTTTTTCCATTTCTTTCTCTATTTCTGCCTTTCCCTTTGTCCTATTCTTCATTATCCTCTGTTTTTTTCCCCATTTTACTGTCTCGCTCTTTAATTTTTTCTCATTCTTTCCTTTTCCCATATTCTTTTATTTTGTTTGTTGCATTCTTTCTTTTATTCTCTCTCATTCTTTCCCTTTTTCTGTCATTCATTCCTTTATTATTATTCCCTTCTTTTTGTCTTGCTCTTTCTTTTTTTTCCATTTTCTGCTTCACACACTGCTAATTTTTTCACTCTCCTGTTTTTCTCTCTGCATTTTCTCCTTCATATAGCCTTATTTTATCTCTCATTTACCTCTCTTTTTCTCATTTTTTTCCTCCTTTTATTGTGTTTCTTTCCCATTCTTTCATTTTCTTCCTCATTCTTTCATTTTCTTTCTCATCCTTTCCTTTCTCTTGTTCATTCTATCCTTTCTCTTTACCATTCTCCCCCTCCCCTCCACACATACTCTCTCTCTCTCTCTCTCTCTCTCTCTCTCTCTCTTCTCTCTCTCTCTCTCTCTCTCTCTCTCTCTCTCTCTCTCTCTCTCTCTCTCTCTCTCTCTCTCTCTCTCTCTCTCTCTCTCTCTTTCTCTCTCTCTCTTTCTCTCTCTCTCTTTCTCTCTCTCTCTTTCTCTCTCTCTCTTTCTCTTTCTCTCACATTCTCAGTATTTATTATATACACAAAACACATCAACCAGTTTTATCTATGCTAAATTTTGTAAATTGTTATTTTTACAATGACAGTGAGAACAACCATTGATAATCAGATTGAATTTTCAAGGAGTGCATTTATATTGGAAACTATGGATAGTGTTGTTTCTCAGTTAGTTTTATATAGATCTGTAATATGGTGTGTTGCTTTTGTGATTCACTGACATGTGTGAAGTCAAGCATATTAGTTACATCACAAAATGCTCACACTTACATGCACACTCATATACATGCATATATATATTTAAACATGTATACATGTGCTTATGTATACACAAATACATTCATTTACACATATTTGCATACGCACACGCACACACATAAACACGAGCACACACATAAACGCGCGTACACGCACACTCACACTCATACTCACATTCACATTCACACTCAGTCTTTCAATCTTCGCCTCTCCCTATCCATTGGTCTTGCCTCTATCCCTCTTTAACTCTACACACTCACATTGTCCAACTATAACGCCCATTGCCGAAAGAGCACTGCCTCAGGACACCCAGTAGGGGCTCCTGCGTGAAGGTAGGACTCCTGATAGATGTAATTAAGTGCTCAATAGCTTCATTTAGGTGTGGTATTATTATTATTATTATTATTATTATTATTATTATTATTATTATTATTATTATTATTATTATTATTATTATATTATTATTAATTTTATTATTATTGTTATTAATATTATTATTATTAATTATTGTTATTAATATTATTATTATTAATTATTGATCATTATTATTTTCATTATTGTCATCACTTTTATTATTATTGTTGTTGCTGTTGTTGTCATCATCATAAACATTATTATTAATATTGTTATTATTATGATGATGATAAGAATTATTGTTAACTTTATTGTTATTGTAATTATTCATATTATATTTATATATATTTTTTTTCTTTTGTATCATTATCATTATTTTGGAGATTTATATTGTTATTGTTACTATTATTGTTATATCAGTTATCATCATTATCATCAACTGTTATTATTTTTCACTGTCGCTTTACCATTACCTTCACTAGGATGACACCAACTTGACAGAAAGCACTTTGGTGACAATTATGATCTGTCCTTATTCTGAGCTGTATCATTTCATCATCTCCTCTTCCCTCTGTGCTCATCTCTCTCTGCCTCATCAGTTGTCCAGAGTAATAAACCCTCATTCTGAGAAACGATACCTTAACAGACGTGTCGTGTGTGTGGGGACTGTGGCTCGAGGACCCCGGGCAATGGGCTCTCCTCGCGATGGCATTCCAACTTCACTGTCTGCGATTCCTGCTACCAGCTACGGAATAAGGGCCTAGCCTGCCCCATCTGTGGGAAGGCGTACCGTGCCATTGCGCAGAAGAACATGGCCCAGTGTTCAACGTGTAGGAGGTGGGTTGGTGGAAGGCGTTTTGATTTTCTCCTCTGTCTTCTGATGTCTTGAGCTAGCTGGCTAACTCTCTCTCTCTCTCTCTCTCTCTCTCTCTCTCTCTCTCTCTCTCTCTCTCTCTCTCTCTCTCTCTCTCTCTCTCTCTCTCTCCTCTCTCCTCCTCCTCCCTCCTCCCTCCCTCTCTCCCTCCTCCCTCCCTCCCTCCCTCCCTCCCTCCTCTTTCTCTTTCTCTTTCTCTTTCTCCTCTTCCCCCCTCTCTCTCACACATAACTGTTGCTATTACCATTTTTCTTTACATCTTTACTAGTGTTATTTATACATGCTACTATTTCCATTTAGGCATGTCCATAGTGCCTGTGACAGTGATGCGGATATTGGTCTAATCCAGTCGAAGTGGAATGCCGACAGATCATACGAGTACGTCTGCACCACCTGTAAAAAGGTTCCAGGACCCAGTCAGTCTCCCATAATATGTAAGTGAAGTATGAGTGTGTTTCGTTAGTTTTAACGTTAAATGTTGTCTTCTCCCAGAGTGAAAATGGAGGTTGTGTTCATTATTCTGATATGCCTATGATTATATCCTGTCCTCTCCCATCAGCTCAAGAAGACAGCTGTGATGGTCCTCAAGAATCATCCATTCATTCAGAGGATTCCATTGATTTGGATCTGCCATTGGATGGAAAGTCAGAGGACTTTGGTCCCTTGCCTAAGCCCCAGACTTCCTTTTACACCCGTGGAAAACCATTTAGTTTGGCAAAGAGAGGGAACTTTACTCCCCGCTTGCGAGGAGGAGCAATTGGAAAGAAGGCCTTCTCCAGCTCAAAGAAGAGAGGGCAGACAGTACCTGTCCGAAGGGGTCGAGGGAATGGCAGAGGATATAGAGGATATTTCAATTATCAGAGTGTCACCCTACAGGTAATGCATTGTTTTGATTGTGCTATTTTTTCTGGCAACTGCAACATACAACATATGGTTGAGAGTATTTTGCTACACAAATGAAAGCAAATATGATGAATCAGGCAGCAGTAATTATAAACAAAGTATGGAAGAGTTAAAACAAAGTAATCTTCATGGTAGGATAGGGAAGATTTTAGTCCAGGACCACACACCCATATCATTTTTTTATTTTTTTATTTTAGATTTCATTATAATTTTAAGATTTAATATTATTATTTCTATCAACTAGGCAATGGAGAACAATCACAGCACAGGCAAAGAAGAAGGGGAGGAGAACAAAGTGATTCTGGTGGCCAGCAATGACGAGTTTTGCCTTGAGCAAGATGTGTGCGCCATGTGTGGAGCGTTCGGACAGGACCAAGAAGGAAGACTCATTAGCTGTGCTCAGTGTGGCCAGTGTTACCACCCATTCTGTGCCAATGTTAAGGTACGGCTCAGCGTCAAGGTATGAGGCATTGAGTTTAAGGTGATATAGAGGGGGATTTCATTAGATACTGGTTGATATACATCATGGTTCATGCAAATGGTCATCCAGGGACAACTCAGACACAGCTCATGGTTTGGCATCAGAACTGTAGGTTGTTGAGTTGGTGTTAGAAGCAAGACAAGACATCATCGCTGGCCTGCATCTAGTTCTTTCGAAAGTAGATTACCGCCACTAGTCCTACAGAAAAGGAGAAGCTAATAGAAATCTAGAAACCAGGATCAGGTAATGCCATCTGCTCTATATCAAGAGAACAGTACGAAGGATTTGTCGCATGACTGCAGTTAGAAGGGGGTTGAATGATGTGATGACTGCCTTTGTGCAAGATGGTTCCACTAGAACAAGAAAAAAAATTGCAAAATGTTGTGAATGATATAACTGAGAATTATCCAGAGGCCGGAATGTGGCCACTAAGCTTGCCAAAGAAAGACACTTTCAGAGTGTAAAATTTTACCTACACTTTCTTTGAATATACAAGTATGAATGACCAAGTGGAAATAAAAGAAGTTGATGAAGATAGAAGACAGAACTGGTGTAAATGAAGAAAAATGAGATCAGAAGAATATGGTATTGATAAATGAGAATGTTCAGAAAAATGATCAAAGATGCGAGATATTTTTTCTGATAGATAAAGCAGATGACATTTCACCAGATCAGTCATCTTCGATTTTACTGTTATGATTATTTTTTCCGTTCCTCCTTTTTTTGGTGAAGGATCCTTTTGATTAAAGAGGAGAGTAATGGGGGAGGTGAGTGTCTGAAGCAGTATCAGATCCTTTTCCTAAGGTGTGAGTATTTTGCATAGTTCTTAAGATTAGACCATGAGGATGGGTTTCCCTTATTCTCTTGCCTCTTGTGCATGCATTTTAGAAGTGAAGAATGGATTTTGGGCTGGTTCGATTCACATTGGAGATTAACTCGAGAGTGATCTTTGCACTTCCAAAAAATTCATTAAAAACTTGCAGTAGAATGGTTTTTGCTGGTTTTTTCCTTCCTTTTGTTTAATTTTTTTTTCTTCTTCTTTCTTTTTCTTCTTTCTGGTTTGACACTATTCATCCATTCATTCCATTTATTCATTCACTCATAGGACTGAAATATCTGTTGTTTTTTTGTTCTATACCTCAATATATAAATTTTTATTTTTATATAATTTGCTTTTCTGTTTTTTTAATTACTATTACCACGGACTTAGATAAACGGCCATGTGCTCATATACAAAATCTCTGTACATTGTTTGCAGGTGAACAAAGTGGTTCTAGAGAAAGGATGGAGGTGCCTGGACTGCACTGTGTGTGAGGGGTGTGGAGAGCGCAACGATGAGAGCCGCCTCGTCCTGTGTGAGGACTGCGACATCTCCTACCACATATACTGCATGACTCCACCTCTAGACAGCGTGCCCTCGGGGGTGTGGAGGTGTAAATGGTATGTAGGCCTAGGCAGCTGTCATTGTCAGTGTCTGTCATGTAGAGGTGTAGATAATGGCTGGTTGTCTTCCATGTTGAAAGCGATGTGTTTAACCCCCTGCCGACAGGTATCAGAAATCTCTGATTGTCATAAACGTCCAGACACTGGGTGGGAGACTGCCACCCGTCAGAAATGGGTTAAGCAGGAAAATATGTAGATACATAAGTGGGATGTTCTGGGAACACTTGAAAGTATAGAAATTGGAATATTGAATATCTTTAATTTTTCTAATAATTGTCACTTGGAGTGTTGGACAGTTTCTAAGAAAATGATAATTCTTATATATGCATTAAAGATGTAATGGTCTAGATCCAAATGAACCCATTGGATCTGGGTGACAGGAGAAAATTGGTAGATGGGCATGGGATGGGTACATCTTGTCATAAAAGCCAAGAGTAGTGGGTGACCAGAATGTCTGTGTCTGGGCAATCGTTGCCTCATAATGAGTGCATGAAGTACTTGGAGAGGCTTGACTCAGTAGTCCTTCAGACGGATTTATTTGTGAGCTCCTGCAGATTTCCACCACTCCCTGAGGGTGGATTGTTCCATCTGTGACCCATGCCTAGGTGAGGGCCATCTTCAGGGAGGACACTATTTTCATATGCAGGAGTCTACTCCTGCCCACTACTAGTGGTGCAGGATGCATTACAGAAAATTAAAGGATAAGGAAAACATAAATAATAACACTTTTATTTATTGTTACTATTATTACAGAGAGTGTAAACTATCTGGAGAGTTAATATGGAGTTTGTTGAATAAAAAGAGTCTATTACTATATAACGGGGGAAAGGATAGCTGGATGAATGAAATTCCTTATACAGAATTTTAAAAAATACTCCCCAAGTTAAAACAAGAAGGATAGAAGTAATCTTTCTAAGAAAAGTCCTGTTTGCTGGGCACATATTAGTGGGCTGTGCTCAGGTAACTTTACTGAGTGGTTCAAAAAGGCTTGATTGATGGGTTGCAAGATTAGGGTAAACGGAAGTAAACTAGAAATTATGGAGATGATAAGTTTCTGAACTTGGGCAGAAAATGTTAACTCTTGGCCCACTGGGGATGACAGATGATGATATAGTTTGTTTCGAATGAAGAGTTAAAATTAGAAAGATAAACAGAAATACATACAGAAAGTACATATAATGTTCACATGATTTTTTGTATTTTAGGTGTGCTGTATGTCAGTACTGTGGTGCCTCAGATCCTGGTCCCAGTGCCACCTGGCAGCAAAACTACAGTGTCTGTGGCCCTTGCAATTCCATGACTCAGTGCCCTGTGTGCGATGAGCCCTATGCAGATGGTGAGCTCGTCATACAGTGCTCCAACTGTGAGCGTTGGCTGCATGCCTCGGATGACATGATACACACGGAAGAGGAGGCAGAGAGGTAAGGCTCTTGTGTTATAGTCTGGTTAGTGGAAATTTGAAGCTCAAAATATTGGCATTTTCATTTTTTGTCTAGAAAAAGTATTATTAGTATTATTAATTATTTGTATTGTTAATGTTGTAATTGTGATGAATTGCTCATATCAAGGATGGTGTGAATTAAAATGCTTTCTGAGAAGCATAGGTTATGAATAGAAGTGGATTGCGGATACTCTAGGTCACTGTTTATTTGAAGAGCTACACAAGAAATAGGTAGAAAGCACATATACTTCTCTTATTTCAAATATAAATGATTTAACACCAGAATGTTTTATCTCATCAGATGTGCTGAGAAAGGATATTTGTGCCTCATGTGTCGACCCCAGGATGCGCTTCCCCCACACCTCCTCCCTCACACGCCACCCCTGCGCACACGTCCCGCACACAATGCAGTCACTCCCACCACAACACTACCAAGCCCTGTGCGTCCTCCAAGTCCAATTGACATCATGCCAAAGGTGAGTCTGCGTGAGTGCTATTGTGGAGAGTTTTCTGTGGCAAGAACATGTGTGCTTTGTATTATATACTATATTTAAAGAATGCCATTAGAAAAATATTTCACAGTAGATTTCTTGAAGTCAGTTACTGTTCCTGTTCCATGACTGTAAGTTATTATGATTATGTTTAGTTCTATGAAACTATCTTGTTGATTCTGTCATTCAGTCAAGTGAATGATAAGCAGTGCTTTGACATTAGATTGTCAAGTTGATTATAATACTCCCAACAGGTAACATCCAAAACACAGTTCTGGGTGGATGGTATATGCTTGTCCGAGTGTGGAATGTTCCAGATAAAGACAATGACATTGGAGCCACAAAAGAAGCCAAGGTAAGAGGGAAAGAAATAAGGTAAAAAAGTGAAATTTTTATGTCTACTATAACGCATCTTATTACAACCATATTCATTCTTAATGCTATGGCCAAATGATTTGTAATATCATCTTTCCTATCTAGGAACCCCAAGACAGTCCGAACCAGTCGAGGGCCTTCCATTGATAGCAGTGGCAGCCGTGACATTGATGACGATGAGGAGGAGGACGAGGAGAAATTGGAGAGCGAAGAGCCAAAGCACTGGGTTTATGGCATGAAGGAAGGAACCATTCTGAAGGCCAAGGCATGTTTTTTTCTCGTTTTCTTTGTTTTATAACCAACATTCTCCTTATTATTGCTATTGTTATATATATTTTATATAGTGATTAATTCAGATTTTCTTGGGAGTTACATCTTTCAGAAGTTTTTTCATTTTTAGTATCATTCACCTGAAAAGGTAAAGGTAATTTTTGTCAGCCATTTTCAGGTTTAGATTTGGATTATATTTGATTTAATTATGAAAAGAAACTACTCACAATAAGTTCCTTTTCATCTTTTTTTGTACATTTTACTATGTGTTTGCACTGATTTAATTGTTTACTTTGCAGGAGGATGGTACACCGCCTGACTTACCAGATGGCTTTTATACCTTACCGGGTCCTGAGCCTGGAACATACACTTTGAGAAAGCGCAGATATCGCAACATCAAAACTCTAGGTATGGAGATGAGGTTTTGCATATATCCCACATGTTTGGAAGAAAATTCAACAATGGATTCTGTTTCTACGTAGCAGTGGTAGCTGATGTCTTCATATTTGATTGATGTGCATTGACTGTGTCTTGTCATATTTATCATAATTTTTTTAATGATGGAAATCTCTCCCTCTCTGCTTTTTAAGGCATTGGTGGCTTCCAAGTCCGCGCACGAGGAAAGAAGGACGATGAAAAAGCACGGGAAGAAGCCAACCTTGACCCTCAGGTTCTGGAGCTTAGGAGGAAGAGAAGTAACTGGCGAACCAAAAAGAAGATCAAACTACTTGAAAAATTTCCGTCTTATATACAGGTTAGTGAGGCATCTATTTATAATGTCGATGTACCACGCAGTGTGTTTATATGCAAGGTAAAGAGGAATTTTATCAACTGGCATAAGATTTGTGTGAAACCCTTTCTATAACCTGAATGAAGTCTGTTTAGACAGGAAGAAATCATTCATCCTTGAATATTCCATGATTGCTTAAGTGTTCATTTTTGGAATTGTTTTTTTTAGGAGGCTTTCTTTGGCCGGAATCTGATGGATACGAGCAAGCTGGAGGAGGAGATGAAGCAAATGGGTGACCTGGATGAGGAATTCACTGAAGATGCCTTTGATATGCAGAAGACAAAGTCGGCAATCAATCTTTCAAAGGTATGCAGTAGTAAAAGAAAAAAGAGGAAAAGAAAAAAAAAAATTGTCTGTTGATGTATTTGTTTAGATTGTACATTCTTTTGATGATTGGAAGCATAGGATGTTTGTTGAGGTATTTTCTGATTTTTATTATTATTATTAATTTTTTTGTATTTTCTAAACAGGATGAAGTCCAGCTTGTTCAGGCAGCCCAGAACAAGCAGCAGCTGGGCCATGAACGGCGCATAGACAGTGCAACACAACAGACAAAGTTGCTGTCCCCTCACCGCACTAAGGTAGAGGATCAGACGGACTCCAAAGCGAAGGAAAAGAAGGATGAGGATAGGAAGGAATGCAAGGTGAGAATTTTGTCTAAGAGGATGTTTAATATTCTTTGTTTCTTTTTTATTATGAAAAGATAAAAGAAATTGCTTAACCTTAGTGTCTTCACATGTATTAACATTTTATTTTCCTTAGGATGAGGAGATGGCAGAAGAAGATGAAAATAATGAAGCCATAGATGCTATCTTTGCCCAGGGAGGTGATTTAACAGACATTTTGATGGGTGACATAATGAGCGCAGCAATAAAAGATGATGATACAAATCTAACAGGCGATGAAGATCTCTCTCAAGATAATATAGATGTGCCTGGAGTAGGTGGCCCTGAAACAAAGTTGACCGACATTCTTGGCCCAGGCTTTAATCTGGATGATGTGGCTGACATCATGAAGAACTTACCAGAAGACAGCACAGAGGATAGCCAGGATTCCACTGTATCCTCTGCAGCACCCTCGGCAAACACCAAAGATAGCTTGGACAGTGCCAGTGTCACAGGAACTCGTTCTGAAGGAAACACCACAGGTACTGGGCCAGCTGTCTCCTCAGCTGGAGCAACAACTGTGTCTGTGCCAGTCACGAAGGAGACTCCGCTTGCCCCACCAGCAGTTCCTCCAGCCGTTCCTCCAGCCGTTCCTCCAGCAGTACCTCCTGTAGTACCTCCAGCAGCACTGCCTGCTGCTTCGACCCTCCGCCCCAATCAACCCCCTGTTGCTCCACTCGGATCAGTCCCAACAGTTCCCCAGCACGCAGTAGGTCCCCCTGTTCAGCAGATGTCAGCCCCGGCAGTTCCCATGTCAAGTACAGTTCAAGGAGGCAGTGCCATTCCATCCATGAAGAACCCTACAGCACTACCAAGTCCAGTAGGCCTTCCGAGCGCTGTTCCACACCAAAGCCCTGTGTCCCATCAGAGCCCTGCACACCCCAGCCCCATTGCGGTCGGCCCACCACCCATTCCCCAGACGCTGCCTAGCCCCTTGCCACGATCTGACTCCCAGCCAGGGTATCCCCAGAGTCAAGCCAGTTTTCCTGCAACACCAAAGCCAACAACACCCACTGTGCCTGAGCCCCAGAAGGTGTGGACAAGCAATGATTCCCAGTCACAGAGCTTGACACTGGAGGAGGATGAAGCTCTAGGACACAAGGCAACAAAGGCAGCTGTGCTCTATGTTAACATTCACAAACCCAATCTGAAGAATGACTTTCCATGTAAGTTAATTATTATGGATAAGATAGATAGATGTAAGTTAATTATTATGAATAGACAGATAGATGGGTACAGTTTGATATGCTGATTAGTTAACTTTGAAAGTTCCTGATGGGAAAATAAGGTTTTTAAGATCATGTTTTTCTTTTTTTTCTTTTTCTTTTTTTTTCTTTTTTCTCCTCCTTTTGTTATTTGGCATTGCAACATTCACCTCCTTTATTACATACAGCTGTGTCTGACCGGGAGAGACAGATCAAACGTACATGGAAGAACCTCAAAGATGCAGAGCAGAAGAAGATGCTGATCCAGAGAGCCAGGGAAAACAAGAAAGAATACTACAAAAATAAACAGGTCAGGCTGCGGTCCCTTGCAGAGGTACCTTTGTTTTGTTTGTCTGTGTTGTGTTTGTGATGCAGGGATCTGCATATTAAACTATGAACAATTGCATAATTATTGTTTTTAGTTTTGTTTATTTGTTTTGTTTATTACATACGTAAATTTTATTTTTTATTTGTTTTATTTTTCTAAAGGCAGTGATGATTAGTAATGAGGTACAGCAGTTGTAAAAAGCCATATCATCAGTAAATATATTACTACTAGTATACAAAACTTTTCCTGGGGGAAATTATAATTTATACCACTCCACAATAGAAATAATTAGTGTAAGTGTACATGTGGTATGAAATAAGCCCAACAAAGTCAACAAGAACAGGAGGATCTAAAGGGTTCAGTGATAAAATAACAGCACATGATCTTTTTTTATTAGTCGTTTGGAGGAATTAAAGAACGTAGTGAGAAGATTACAGTACATGGCTTTTTTCTGTCCCTTATATTTGCACACAAATATTTTCTTTATGACATTCTGCTCCAATAGTGAACCAATTCTGTGTTGTATATTTATTGAAGGTTCATAAGAATTATGTACCTAGATTACCATTACTGCTTTATTTGCATAAGGCAGTAATTGTGGAATGAAAAGGCCACACTTGTGAAAATATGTTGAGAGTTGTCTATGATGATGCGGCTTTTTTTGTAGCGTTCTGCTGACATGGTTAAACATCCTCTTTTATCGATAAATTCTTTTTATGTTCCGTATTATTTTTCTGAGATTGTGGAATTCTGGATTGAAGGAATGGATTGTTTTGCACTTAGATTTTTTAATGATTTAATCTCTTTTGTTGTATGATTTTGATTTTGTGTATTTTTATATATATATTTTTTCTCTGTGGTCATTTGTGTTTCTGGGATTTTATGTTTTTGTAGTGTCACAGGTGTGTGTGCAGTTTTTGCATTATGTTTTTGTTTTGTTATTATCAGCATTGTTGTTTTGTATACGTTCTTCAGTTTTGAATGTAGTCTTTTGTTTATTATTGTTAAACTTTACTTTGTTACTATTGCTCATTTTGGGAGCTGCATATGGTTTTGTATGTTAATTTGGGTAGAAGTTATTTATGTACGAAGCATATATAATAACATTTTGGTTGTCCTGTCTGCTATGACGAGACTACAGGACTGTATTAAAATGATTTGCCAAATTGGGACATAGAAAAATGTGTGCTTTGCAAGGAAGAGGGGACAGAGAGGGGAAACAGCTTACTGGGGGAATATATTACTCTGATGATTGTTTTATTTCTGTTATTTCTTGTGCAGAACAAGTTTTTTCAAAGTGGTGTTTTTGACATTGAAATATGTTCTGGGGAAATGCTATCATTAGTGTTAATTTTATTACTGAGTCATCTTGTTCCTCAAGTATATCAGGGGGAACTGCTCATACCCTAAAATGGGGTGGCAAGAAATGATCGATGTAAAGTCATTGGAAAGAAAAGGCCAAAGGTGCGCAGTTGACCTTTGTCTCCCAATACTCTAGAGGTTTTGTCATGAGCATAAGATACTTTGTTCTGCAGATTCAGAGTAGGACCAGGCATTATGGGTGGGTGGGGGTGGGGGGACTCCAAACTGGGCGTCTTTTCATGTGCATTGTTGCAGTTTGGCAAAATGATAAAAAGTATGGTTAGACGTGACTGAATTCTCTTCTGGTTTTCTTTATTTTCTAAATACTGCTTGATCCTCTTGTCTGCATTTCCTGCTCCCCATGTAAATGTATTATGTATTAATATATAAGTATTCTAAATACATATACATATATATATATATATATATATATATATATATATATATATATATATATATATATATATATACATATATATACATATATATATATAAACACACACACACACACACACACACACAC